CGCTCCAGGAGCCCCGCACGAGTAATGGTGGTGGCGTTGGCGATCGCTCGTTCTTGTATGCGCAGGTAACGACCGAGATCACAAAAGCAACAGCAGGGGAGTTTCCTGCGGCGGGGATCACACCCGAAAACCGCACCCCTGGACCGCGGCCCGAGACCCGCGGCCACTTACGGCCCACGGCTGGTGGTGACTCCGACCCTCTGACCCTCTGGCACTGAGGCAGCTATGTTAGGTGGCACGCAGACGGATGCCTGGGCACAGGTCATGCCCCCGCACACACAATAGAGCGCTGTTGTTCGCCGTCGCTCATAACGCACACGTGTCGGGAGTTCCCATCGCGCGACGGAGAGGGAGCGATCGACATGGGTTGTAATTTTCAAATCGGTGGGAGGATGATACAGGATTCAAGGTAACTCGCGGCGGAGCTGTTGATGGCAGCGGGTCTACTACGTCCGCCCTCTACTACCCGCGCAGTGCGGACGAGGGCCACGCCATGATGCAACAAGTGGTTGCAAGTATGATGCCATATGGTTCTTAGTTAAAGGGAATGCTCCACATTTGAAGACAAAGCATCAGATATAATGAAATTATCTAACTTTGAAATGTTTGAATACTTTTAAGTGTAAAAGGTTGCCTCAAAGAACACAATTCCTCAGCGTTGTCAAGATGCTCCTCAATGCGTCATTGTTTAATTACGTCATCGCACCTCGCACACTGATTGAGCCAATCGATGGCCATTATATCTGGAAATCGTGCTCACGAACGCCAGATATAAACGAATCAACAATTATATTTTTCTTGCCTTTGATCACCGCATAGCTAATGGAAGGGCAGGACATGACGTTATCATGACGTCATGGATGCCTGAGTGGCTTTCAATGTCTCCCCGAAATAGCCCGCACATCTTCGCGGGCGTGTAGCTCAGATACTAGGGGGGTTTGGGCCTGAAGAAGGGCAGGGCTGTGAACTACACAGGATGATCTTCAAGATGGCTATTTCAGCTCAAAACCCCATACAATTGTGGAGCACTATCTTTGACACTAACCTCATACGCACCAGTTGCACAAGGCTCAAACTCATCATTCCAGCATCATAACAAAATGGGGCATCAAGAAAATGGCACCGTTTGCTCGCAGGCAGCTCGCTGTGAGGCTGCGGTTTGCCACACCGGGAAGCGGGCGTCTCCGACCAACGCGACACTCGTTCAGGGCAAACGGATCGCGCTGGTCGCGCACCGTTCCGTCGCATAGCCACCTTTCTTGAGCCAGACGGGAGTCTTGATGATGGCGTCGTAGTCCCACAGTGAGCCGCTCTTGGAGTCCACGGCGTTCATGAACGGCCAGTTGTGCACGTGGTTCTCCGGCGACATCAGCTCCTTCAGGATACTGAGGACGCCACACATCAGGGCTAGAGTCGCAGCCAGCATGAGGATAGAGGGCCGTGTCCAGGACAAGAGTATCTTAAAAGAACACCAAAGCCCACTGAATCTATGGGCAGCATCTTGCAATATACGGCCGTTTGAATCGTAGAGGATAGGGGCAATCAGCACATGGCTGTGTGGAGGCATGGAATGGGCCACCCCCACACAACACTGTGCCAACCTACACGGAAACGTCGCATACTGCGCGAAAATGCAGCGACGGCCGAGACCACAGGCCTCCGCCACCTTCCATAGGTCTTTCCTACGCCAATCCGCACCGGCAGGCCTGCCGCAGCTCATCGAGGAGACTCCACTCAGAGCCTGAGCCTGAGAGCCTGCTCAGTCCCGCTAGTCGGTAACCGCTACCTGCCGCCTTCCCCCGCCCCCCCCCCCCTTCCCCTCCCTCCCGGCCAGTTTCCCAGCCCCGCTCACCGGTATGTCTGGCGGAGGTCGCCGGAAAGGGCGGCGGCGCGCCGCTCCAGGTCGTCCACGTCGTCCGGCACGCCCTCGTCCAGGTACTCCTCCACCTCCTCCTCGTCGCTGCCGCTGTCGGCGCCGCTCCAGCCATCCCCGCCGCCACCGGGGGCCTGTCCCGCGTCCGCCGGACACTCCTCCTCCTCCTCGTCCTCCTCCTCGGTGCCCGCCGCCGCCCCATCGTCCTCGTCGTCTTCGCTGACGCCTGGTGGGCAGCGGCCAGTCACACGCGGACGGGCCCGCGGGGCGCGCTCGGCGCGCGGCTCCGGCACGCGCACACAATAGCCTTTCTGAATAGGGTGTCAGACCGAACGGATCCAAGGACGAGACCGGACTTGCCGAAAGTATTACGGATATTTTGTCACCGCCACATTGAGAACACGCATAAATGTCAAGTAAGACGTCCCTGCGCTTGTATACAAAGCAAGGCAATTTTCGATTAGTTGAGATTTTAGGCGCCATGACTGCAAAGCCACAACGGATTCCTGCACTCTCGGGCAGGTCTTGCAAGCCTGGTGCTGCGAACTGCACTGGCAAGAACAGGACTTAACAGCAGCCGCAATGACCACGGTAAATAACGCAGCATCGCATGAATCGTCGTAATCTTAGCACTGATAATCAAACTATCCCTTACCCACTCAACCGCCCACCCACCCCAGCTCAGCTACCACTTAATAAGTGAGCATTTTTATCCTCCAAGGAGACCATTTTTCATGTTTCACCGCCTAGCACACTCGTGCAATGAAACCAAACCGGTTTAAACCAAACATAATCGGCCCATGCCGCAAGAACCCGGCAAGAACAGCTTCGTGAGTGTAATCTGAAGACGACATGATTCTGATCCCTATCATCGTCTGACTTGCATGTCATCGCTTTGCGCCTGACATTTATGAGAGCAGTATGTGCCCTTCAACTCTGCCTTGATGCGCGGTACGGAATAGGCGCCCGCCGCGGACGTGCCTTTAGACGTAGCATGACTTCACAAATCACACATACTCACCGTTGGTCAGAGAGTGGTACGTGGGGTACCTGGGATCCATGTCGGAGACCGACCGACCTGTGGAACGTAGCGAACTCAGTCGGGCGAACATCTGTAAATCAACTATCCGCTCGCTAACGTCGGACAGACATTCAACTGGCAAGACAGCATCAGAAACCGATATTGCGTCCAGTTGATGTTCTTTTTTGGCAGCTTTGGCCGCCTTGGTTTGGTGTGTCGGTTTGGAGCTTAAAAATATCGATCTGCCGCCGGTGTGACTCATTTAAGCACCAAAATTTGGTTGTCTGCTACTAAACTAATGCGAGCTTGCTGCTTACCGCCTGCAATGCTGCCCGACATTCCCAATCCCATGTGAAAACCTATATCAAACATACTGGCAGCACACGGTGACAAAGTTGTCTCCTCAAACAATGTTGGTCTTCTGCAAGCCGGCCATCCGGCTAGCCGCCGATGGCTCGGCCAGCCGCATCCAGCGGCTAGCCGCTGGTGGCTCAGGTCAGCCGCCTCTTGCTGCTCGCCGCCGATGGCTCAGCCAGCCGCCTCGTCCGGCTCGCTGCCGGTGGCTCAGCCAGCCGCCTCGTCCGGCTCGCTGCCGGTGGCTCAGTCAGCCGCCTCGTCCGGCTCGCTGCCGGTGGCTCAGTCCGGTTCGCTGCCGGTGGCTTAGTCAGCCGCCTCGTCCGACTCGCTGCCGGTGGCTCAGCCAGCCGCCTCGTCCGGCTCGCTGCCGGTGGCTCAGTCAGCCGCCCCGTCCGGCTCGCTGCCGGTGGCCCAGTCCGGTTCGCTGTCGGTGGCTCAGCCAGCCGCCTCGTCCGGCTCGCTGCCGGTGGCTCAGTCAGCCGCCTCGTCCGGCTCGCTGCCGGTGGCTCAGTCCGGTTCGCTGCCGGTGGCTCAGTCAACCGCCTCGTCTGGCCCGATGCCGGTGGCTCAGCCAGCCGCCTCGTCCGGCTCGCTGCCGGTGGCTCAGTCAGCCGCCTCGTCCGGCTCGCCAGCCTTTGGGTGGCTGGGCAGCGTTGAGAAACGTATGAGCAGAGATTGGAGCTACAAATCTGGGAGGCACAAAACCGCAAAACCACCCAAGAAACTTGCTGGATGTAACAAGGAGGGTTTTGAACTGGTTTTTAATCACAAAAACAACATGCAGCTAATTCAGAAAATGTTTGGTTACCATTGGATATATTTGTTCTTGTTCATTGGACGCCATTTTTCAAAAAGACTAACGTAACATCAGGCAATTATTTACTACTTTCACGGCGCAGCAAGATGTTACTCAAGCAACCCTTGGGATGCCGCACTGTTTGGAAACACCTTACGAAATTTCCCAACATCTGGCGGACCTTTAGAAATTTCCCGAATCCGCGGAAATGGCCTTGTTCTTTGAGTGCCGGGTTCAATTTAAGCCACTTCCATTGAATTTCAAATAATTGAGACGCATTCAACACCGCCACAGCGAAAGCAAAACTGATTCTGAGAACCTGCATTGGTCATTTGCCATCCACCAGGCAAAAATCAGTTTGCTGGTTAGCCGCCAGTGCCGGGTCAGCTAGAAAACGACCAGAACGCAGTGCTGGAACAGCTAGAGAACGATCAGAAAACAGGCGGCAGCCAGCAGCGTTGACTTAGGTTAGTGTGCTCCTTGTAAATCCCGTCGAGATGGTAGGCTTATTATTGTGATTAGTTTCTCACGCCGATCGCGACGTTTGCTGTTCATTACCATTATGCTGCTTCACACCAGTTGCAGTGTGAAACCAGAGAACAGTCAGCAATGTCTTGAAGTTAAAGCTTTCAGGTCTACAGCATATGGTTCCTCATTGTGATGACTAGTACTACCAAACTGGCAGTTTTACCATACCAGCTAGTGTAGCTGGGTTTTTGTAACCCTCCTGCAATTATATTCAACCAAAAAAGTCCTACCAAACTAGCAGCTTCAGTATATCAGCTAGTGGAGCTGGGACATTGTAACCCCACTGCGATGATAATAAACCAAATACACCATGATAATATGTGGCACTAAACTCATTACATCACATGTAAACAGGGATTGTTTTTCACTGCTACCCAACCTATGCAGCATGCATGATAATGTTTGGTTGCTGGCAAGACCATATATTTTTAGCTAGTGCCTGAAATCCTCCACCGCTTCTTGCAGTCACTGCACTTCTCACTGTCCCATACTAATTAATAGGTGACTGGCTACGAGCCCATCGTTCCACACAACTTGTGTCACGCATAGCTGAGGAACTGGCTCCTGCTGTCAGAGAGACCAATGCCTTTTCAAGGATTCAAACTATGCCATTCCGCATCCAGCAGACGCCACACTAACAGTGATAACAGAGCTCAAAGCCGTAAAACACAGTGGTAATGCTACTGGCGCGATTCGAATGCTGGTAAAATATGCTAAATGTCTGCTCAGGTGCTTTCCCACACATTTTATCATCTGATGTAGTTGTACCCCACTGCAGACGTATCTGTAAGAAAATGTAAAGGCGCATCCGACGTTTGCAAAGACGTACCTGTAAGAAAACATGATTGATGCAAATCAAAAACATGCAAGTGGCTAAAAAGACGCATGCCCTGGACATTACACCCTTAAATCACGGCAAAAGCACGTAACCAAACATATACGTCCATTTGCGTCGGGCCTACAGCGATTACGCGACTTGAACGAAGGTGGTATGGACTCCGATACGTCATTTTGTGTTTATGGCGTGTGTGTTACGGCGTATGTGTTTATGGCATTACTGCTTGTGCCCAAGCGGGTACCACAAAAGACGCGTCTTTTATTTAAGGGTAAGAGCGACCTGGCCAACGTGAAAACATGCCTATTCACGCACACAATTCTAAAACATGCCTTATCATTCCAGAAACCGCCCGAGCTGTATAGCGTAGGTTTGTACGTCATTTCCCATCCATCATTCACATCCTAGCACAAATTCGGCACGCAAATGTTACGACAGGTCAACAGTGACTACATCAACAATGTATTGGTTCAACTCGGGCACATCAAGCGTGCGTGCGTCACATGCATGTCAGAAGGTCTAGCGAGGTGGGTTCGATGTCTCCTGGTCTGGAAGCATACTGCTGGTTTAAAATGTGTTTCGCCACAGGCAGCGGCGACGAAAACCGGTACCTTGCGACAGAGCTCGCGATTATCCGTAAAGCCAAAGGTGGAAACATATATGCGTGGATGAACTAGCTAGGCACCCGCGAAGGATGACGATGGCTTTGATTGGGATTTCAGGGCTCACCGACCACTGAGGTCATTTTGCGCCCAGCACCCGCGGAGGAGAGTGACGCCACGTGCCACTACCCTCATTTATAAGTCATCGGCCAATGCTCGGGCTTCGAAGCCGTCGTGCGATACGGTAGTAAGACTTGGGGGGAGGGGCTGGTGCAGAGCTTACTGGCGATGATCGATCGCCTCGTTGAAGATACGTTGGCAGGGATGATAGCGACGATTCATACTTTGAAAAAGCCCACTTGATGACAGACAGCAGCTGATGCTGTACGTGGTTTATCTCCAAGGTCAAATTATCAAGTCCGATTAAAACACCACCAGATTAAAATCTATGACAAGATCTGCATGTCCGACACAGCTTTTGGAGGTGAGAAGGGATCGTAAAGTGTTGTTTCCTAGATCACATGGCTGCCGACCATGGCCTACCCGGACTAACTTCGCAGGATGTGAGCTCTTTTTGCACTGACTGTCATTTAGATCAGACATGGCGAACGCGACACTCCATTCAGATTCCTTCGATGGTGACATGGCTCTATCGAGCTGTGAAGAAACAAACGTAGCGCGGGGGCAAACACCGTGTTCGCTTCAGGACAGACCCCGAGGAAAGAGTCGTGACTAGACGGGAGCAAGCCAGGAGAAATACTTCGAACTGGACGACGAAGTGGGACCATGGCAGCCTCGAATTAACTTCAGGACGCTGTCGCCAGCAACCCAGTCATCTCCTACCTGTACATCGATACAAGCGCACCAGTCTGGCCAGCACAAACGCCGCAGTCGCCTTGGATTTAAACACTGACGCATGCGATGGGATCAGCTTAAGATCTGGATGGGGTCCTACCTCCACATCGAACTGGCGATGACGGTTATGCACGGAAAATACAATAGCAAAGACAACTCAACTGGCAGTATAAGAGCCTACAGACTTCAGTAAGAGCTTAGGACAGCTTCCGTTGCTCTCGGTAGAAGAGCACGAAACCAGCAAAATCCCCGACGACAGCCTTGTTAAGGAGCAAGGTGGAGATGATGCAACAGAGGGCATGATGTGGTTCGTGTCGGAACTACAGCCGTCATCTTGCGACAGTCAATGCCGTATGGAACGCATAACAGTGAGCACGTGTGCAACAAAGATTTTATGAGGGGGGGGGGCTGCAACAAAGATCTTATGGGGGGGGCCATGCTGGTGATGCACTTATATTCTGCTCCAGAACCCAAAAAGTCCATGTAGGACTCCTGAACAGGTGGGGGTCCGCCACCTCTCTTGGTCACGCTCCTGTCGGTGAGATGCGGCCATGGAATGGAAGAGAGATGACGTGGTTGTTGGCTCCGACATAATGGTGACCAACCATGCTGCCTAGTTCACCTCATAAGGTGCGTCCTGCATATTGAGATCAGTGGCATTCAATGGAATGCTCAGCAACACCTGTTGCAGCCCCGTCGAAACGCGTTGCTCGCAGTGCTCTCACATGAGGGAAGGGCTGCTCGACACGCCCCAACATAGCCAGTACTTTCCTTTTTTCATTTCTGCTTGAGAACTGTGACACAAATCGAGTAAACTTCTATGATGATACTCTTCTGACCAAAGCAAATGCTGGACAATGTTAACAACTGCCATGCACTACCATTGATTGGTGGCAGAAGCCATCCCTGACAAGTACCCGAAGAAGGGACACACCTCCATGGTGCCAATATGCATCTCCAAGTGATCAACAAACAACTGCAGAAATGGAAATGATGTGCCTCTGGTGAGAAGCAAAGTATCCCAACCCAGAACATGAAGCATGGTGACTTCCTTAGGTTCAGTGATGCACCCAGGGACAAGAAAATTGAGGAGCTCCAGTGTCCAGACAAGCAACACTGAAAACAAAAATAATAGCAAGAGACACTGAGTTGACCTTGCTCACTTTCACAAGCAAAAAATTGATACAAAGCCTGCAGAGAAGATATTGCACTTTTCACTAAAACTTATTTGAACCATGCAACATGGCATTTGCATGCCATCACAAAGGAGACATTTGATTTCACCACAGGCTCTGAACAGAGAAGTGGACCCCAAAGAATTGGCAGAGGAACTAGTATAGATTGCAACTGGCCTGTTTCCACCCATGCCCCTCACAAGAGGCAGCATTGTTTGTGTAAGGAGGTCCATACCAAGTCAAAACTGAAGGACCTGGTAACAGCCTGAGTATAGCAGGTCCAGGAATGTGCTCCTCAAATCATGGGTTCACACATTTTTCACACTAGTAATATATCAGAGAACAATGCCACCAACAGCTCTGTGGGCTTGGCCAAGATGATTATGATTTCAAAATACGTGTATACAACCTGAGTTATGGTGGCACATGAGCTTTGTGAGGTCCATGCTTAATTTACAGATCAATGGCCGAGCACCACAATTTGACTCTGATCTCCATAACTTGGGATTACCTTCACCTGGCAGTTTCATTAGCATTATGCGGAAGCATGCAAACATCAACAAACTGCATTTTTTGAACTCACTAGAATGCAATACATCTAGACAGCATTGTTCAACAATATGCTATGGTACTGCAGACAGTGAAGAGTATCTCGGTTACATTCATAAGACATAATTATCACGGATTTAAGGCACACAAAAATTCAATGAAAATGAATCGTTACCTTGGGTTTTACATGTAGTAATGAGCTGTTGGCATTCCAACTACCAAGAGATCTACTGAGCATGTACATCACACTATTTGTGCCCAAGCCCTGTGTTCAAACCATGCATATCTGAAACATGCCTTTTTGCAAAACAATGCAATTGCAATTTTGCAAATTTGCAATTGCAAAACTATGTCTTTCTACCTAGGATCTTCACTTCAAAATAATGTAAGGAGCAAATATTGGAAACAATTCAAGTGGTCTAAGACCTTGCTAAAATTATTAAACAAAGTACCAATAACCATCCACAATCATGGGGAATGTATTATTCAGATGATGGAACAAACACACTTCTAACTTAATTAAACACCTACTTGTGCACAAAAATACTGAATTCACCCTCTTGAAAACTAGCAAAATGTTGCATATGTCCTGTTGCAGTTAGACAGTAGAAAATTTAACATGAAATGTACATGATTTTTTGGAGGTCTATTTAAGTTCTGCATTTTCATTGCAAGTATATCAATGCTCAAAGTTGTTCTGGGATTCAAAAAGCCCTTGTGTCATGGCAAGTCCTGGTTATAATGGTTCACAAGACACATGACTGATAGTACAGGTGTTCAAAATGGATTGCAAAGAACTTAACATTGCAATTAATGTGCCTAGAAAACCCAACCCATAGGCCTAACCTGTGAATGCACCTGTCATTACACTTGAAACCAGATGTGCTGACAAAAAACATACAAAATTACATAAGGAATATCGAACATATCACTCCACTCCAGAACTCACTCCATATGCCTAGGTCAACTCAAGATAATTAGGCATCATGGACTGTTTTAACTTATTTGAATACATCCTAGACAAAATTGTTATTAACAGTTGCCACTGACAACCTTTGATACTAGTCTGGAATGATCAAGCCCACTAAGATCTAGCATATTTCTAAAACATTATGTATAGCACATCCTGTCCACTTTGAGGCAACCACTTATGAATCTAGTTTCATTTCAACAGTTTAACTTCTGCTCCAAATGATTCTTATAACTGATCTGCCAATTCTTTTCACTGAGCAAAAATCTTCAAGAGAGAAAAATACATGCACATGAAAACTGTAACAAATGTAGGCACTACAGATATTTCACAAAACATGCACGCAGATTTTATGCAGCTAAGTTGGTGAGTACTCAGTGTTTGGATACACACGTCATGTAGATTTGGGCACACATCCAGCAGTCTAGGCTCATCTTACCCAAATTTCACCTCATCATCTCTATGGCCCATCTTTAATGATGACTGGTAACTGGTGTACAGACCATCACAGAAACAAGAAAAGTACGGCCATTGCATCAAGCAACGTGCCATCCAACTGCAGATTGCCTGCTGAACTGAAATTGCTGTGTTAGGATGGCAGGATGAAAACCATTGAAGCATTGTTTGTGAATGGCTGAGGCCCAATACCTACTCCTAATATGTGAATTACTGCACTTTGAGTCATTTGGTCATATCTTCTTTGAGCATTTCCTCACATTGCATTAACACGACATTAACATTACCCGCATTACTATATGCCAATAGATAATATGATGAGGTGTCATCAAGTAACAGACACAAGCAGCATTCTGGGAATACAGAACTTTTCCTCCAAACATTAGGGGTTAATCTATGAAGTGACATACTTCAGCCAGTGGCATCACTTATTGATAATTTATCTAGCCTGTGTCAAAGAAGGTACCATGAAATCATGGATTACATGCAATAGGAACATACATAATACTCAACTACAAAAAAATACTTATGTTGTACTAGTTCAGAGAACACCTAATGTATCAATTACAATTCTGTACTTCCACAAAAAACATACCAGGACATCAAATGAAGCAGGACACTAAAAAAAGTGTTTAAGTTGATGGACTAATGCAAATCAAGCTATATATTTACACCAGGCAACACAAGATGCCCTGCCAGAGAACAATTGCTAACCACAAACTTCACAGACCTGAAATTCAACCACACGAGCGCGCCACACTTGCCTCCAAAAAATATCACCGAGCTTCAGACATGATCCAAAGCGCTTTCTACATGAGACTTCGATAACCCGAAATACGAACAGATTTCTGTCGGCATACGTTGCACCAAGCGCCGGCTACACAACACCACACACCTCACACCACATTCCCACACGCAGACCGGGATCAAACCGCGGCAGGAACAAACGAACCATTCGCGCTGTAGCGCCACATGTGAAGCAAAGCGCGGATGCTTATGCCGCTCAAGATTGCGATATTTTTCGAAAAATGGTGTCAAAAGGCACTGGACGCAAAAATAAACTGTTCTACAAGCGCGGTTCATGCACATTCTGAGAAATTTAAGATCATTTAACCTATATCTTTAGGATACTATATTCATTCCATCGACGATAGAGTTGGGCTTTTCAGGATCTCGTGTGAACACTGCAGTGTGAGTACTGGTCGGGCTCTCGTCAGCCACTCTCGCGAATGGAGTGCCTGACCAAAATTACATGGCTACTGATTTCTGCACCGCTTAGAGCTCTTACTCTTCTATACATGCGTATGCCACTGGTATGTTTGTAACCGTATGGTGAGCGAGTATGCAAACTGATGAATGGCAGCATGGGCACCTAAACGTCAAGAGTGGGGTCAACATTTTCTGGATTATGCAATCTTGTGAAATTCGGGAAAAATCAAGCTCATTATCCTTCTTTGTATCACATCAGCCAATTATTGCTTCACATAAGTGTTTGCCATTGAATGTGTTCAAAAATTGCTCGTGTTGGTAGCGTGACTTGCGACAAACTGCTAAGTAGTAATTCATAAAGTGACGATAGGTGGCAGAGCTCGAGGACCTGTTGGCAATGTCTTTCCACTTCATGATTACAAGTTCGTTTGTGATATGTCATAATATGGTGTTTGATGACATCATAAATCAGCACGAAATGCATAATGTGAGGCAAGTGATTGCTTAAATTAATGAAGTCCTCAGCTACGCCGCACGATTTAGATCTCATCAGGTGACCATCTCGTGAAACGTGAAAGAAACGTGTCCGTTTCTCGTCGTTTGATTACTTCTTCGATTGCTAAATTGCAATTTAATTCGTTCGTACTACATTATTTTGATTGCCCGCCATGGACGGGAAGGACAAGACATGGAACAATAATGAATCAGACACTCACTCGTTCTCAAAAGCCGACCTACCACCATGGGCGTAACCAACACAGGTGACGGTCGTGTCCGGCCCCCGGATCTCTTGCATATTTTGGGCAGATTGAACCTTTTGTGTCTATGCCGTATACAATTATATCAAAACAGGAATAAGACCCAGGGGGATTTAGGGCATGGTTACGCCCATGCTTACGACATGGACTGGCCCTGGGACTACGAATTACGACCTTGTATTGTCCCTGGGCTGATGAAAACCGCATGTCCGATTATATTTTCTCCGTCACTGGCCGCTGCACGGCTGCACCCGAGGATCCTGGTGACCTCGCTTGTGTCCGGCACACACATTTACATATGGAAGCACTAAGTCCATTGTCCGCTGCCTATAATTCTGCCTCTGCTGGGGCTTCGACGCGACCCGCTGGTAAATCCAGCTCGTCTTCTGAAAGCCCCCCGCCGCTACACATCCCTGCGTTGAACGAAAACCAGCTTGATTCTTAGTTCTTACCTGATAGCGCAGCCAAGGGATAACATAATTTTATGCAGTAAAATCGATGTCTTTTAGGCCCACAGACAGTTTCGAGTAATATGCGGCGCTTCCGACCTTCAACATGGATTTCCCCGCCCAACACGCTCATGGTCAAAACAAGGACGCGAGCGCAGCTGTCCGTCGAGTTCTCGCCGTATTTGCATTCAGATTCAGCGTTGTGTTCCTATATCCAATTTGATAGCAATGCTTGTGTGCAGTATGTACCACAGGCTCCACGCAGCGCGCAACACTGAGAGTGGAAACACCCAGTGCGCAACTTAAGCAAATGGCATGGGTTGGCGCCACGCAATCAGTATACGCACGCAAGTGTGCGAGACCAGCACTTAGCGCTTAGCGGTGCGCGTGCTTGGAGTTCAGCTACCCATAAATATGTGCTCCAGTCGCGGTCACACATCGTTGCGTTGCATTGGCGCAACGCAATCTTTATTTCTGCCACTTTCATGAACGCACCGCGTGTCCTTCCTGCTTTGGTCGAGTGCCGTATACATGTAAATATATATACACCCATATAAACACACACACACACACACACACACACACACACACACACACACACACACATATATATATATATATATATATATATATATATATATATATATATATATATATATATATATGTATGTATACGGATTAGATATGTATGCAGCCAATAATCCAACCACATGTTTCCAGTGTGCGCGGTAGGGACGGGCCCAGAGGGGATAGGGTCACAAGGTCACGCCCCCCCTCCCCCTTCAGCTTCAAAGGGGCCCATAGCCGACCGAAAGAATGCACTTTTCTAAAAAAAAAAGGAAGACAAATTAGGACGTCTTTGGACTTCCAGGCAATTAAAAACAGTCGCACAGCGAAAGTGAAGGGTCCATGAGTAGGTTGAGGTAATTCTTCACTGAATGAGAGGGGTGGTGATTGGGAGAATTTAAGGCCCATCCCGCTGTCCAGAGGCCCAATGCTGTTTCCGGGGGAGCTATGTGCTCACATGGAGGGTCAGTCCGGTCGTTAGGGAGCCTTCCCACGTTGCCCTTGATTTATTTTCATTTGCTCGAAGGACCCTGCGCTGTTGCTGGGCCCTTCCTGCTACCGTGCCGGGCGCTCTTGTCAATCAGGGGCCTTCCCCGGATTCATACCATTCGCCCGAAAGACTCTACGATATAGCCGGGGGCCCCATACGTTAACCTGCCGGGATGTTCTCGGTTGCTCAGAGGCCCTTTACGTTGGTCTCTGTTCACTTATCGGCATGCTCTCGATGTGCTTATCGGCCCTCTACCTTGATCTAAGGCCCTTCCAATTCTCTGTTACTTGCTTAGGGCCCTATACTCTTGTCGGGGACCCATCTGTTGACCTACTCGGGCACACTCGGCGGCTCGGGGTCATCTTCATTGAGTGTTATGTATTTCCTATTTTCATAAAGGGCCTTACGCTCTTATCCAGTGTCCTATTGATAAAGCTGCTCTGGCGCACTCGATCGTTCAGAGGCCCTCTACATAGAATCGTATGTATTTTGTATTTGAATGTAGAGCCTTATGGTCTTGTCGGGGGCTTTATCTGTTAAGCTGTTCGGGCACACTCAGTCGTTCGGGGGGGGGGGGGGGGGCTCCACATAATGTCTTGGGTACTATCTATTTGAACAAAGGGCCCTGCGTACTTGTCGGGGTCCCCTCTGTTCGCATCCTCGGCCGCGCTGGATCATTCGAAGGCCCTGTATATTGGGTTCTGGAGTTTAAATTTAGGGCCCTACGCTGATCTCCGGCGCACTCCATTTTTCGGGGGCCTTCCGTACTGAGTTTTGGGTACTCTTATTTAAATGGAGGGCCTTACGCTCCTATCTGAGCCCTTTCTGATAAGCTGATCGGGCACATTCAATCGTTCAATGGTCATCTACATTGGGTCTTGGGTACCTCCCATTTGGATGGAGGGCCCCACGCTCTTGACGAGGACCCTGTCTGTTGACCAGCTCTGGCGTAATCCATTGTTCGGAGCCCTCTACATTGCTTCGTGGATATTTTTGCATTTGAATAAATGGATCCATCCAAAAAAAATGCTCTTTTCGGGGATCCCATCTGTTAACCTGCTCTGGCGTAATCCATTGTTCGGGCACACTTGATTGTTCGGGGGCCCTCCACATTGTGTCTTGGATACTTCCTATTTCAATACAGGGCCCAACGCTCTGGGCGAAGCCCCATCTATTTAGCTGCTCGGGCCGGTGGCGGATACAGAGGGGGGAGGGGTGGGGACCTTACCCCCTGTGCCCCGAGAGAACCCATGGGCTCCAAAGGGGCCCATAACCATCCAAACGGACGCAGTTTTATAAAACAAAACGCGAAAAGTTGGACGTCTTTGGGCCTACAGACTATCAAGAACAGATTTAGGGGAAATAGGAGAGTCCATGAACACGCAACGTTGATTCTTCGCTGATAGGGAAGATGTTGATTGAGCGAGATTTTGGGGCTCGGTACGCTGTCCAGAGGCCTTGCGCTGTTCCCCGGGCCCTATACGTTCACCCGGTGGGTCAGCCTAAGCGCTAAGGAGTCTTCTACACTGTCTTTGATGTCTTTGCATTTTCTCGTAGAGCCCAGGCTGCTGCTGGACACTATCTGCTTACGTGCCCGCGCACTCATGATCGATCAGGCTTTCCTCCACGGATTCTTCCCATTTGCCCGAAAGGCTCTATACGCTTCTTCTAGGGCCCCATATGCCGGGGTGCACTCAGCTGCTCAGGGGCACTTAATATTGGTCTCGGGTTCTTTACACTTGCTCGGAGGGCCTTGTGCTGTTGCTAGGGCTCATATAAGGCAAGGCACCGACCCGCGCGTTGCTCAGGAGCCTTCTTCTTTTATCTCGGGTTCTTTCCCTTTGATCTCATTTGTGAAGGACTCTTCACTTCCATTGGGGCCCTTTCTGTTAATCTGCCTATGGTTGACCTAACCGAGCCATAAAGCCTGATTTCTTCCCAAATTTAGGTCAATTTAATTTGCGTCCCCGAAGCAGCACTAAAAAGCTTTTGTGTACCGAATTTTATCGATTTCAAAAAGGTTCTGCAAAAAAATGACATTCCCTTTGAAGGCAGTGTGAGGCCGATTTTAGTGAAAGCAGAGAATGGTGTGTAATTGTAATAATAAAATGGTGTATTTTGTAATTGTAATAATAAAATAAATACATAATAATAAAATTGCGTGTAATTAGCAGGAAAGCAAAGCCTAGGGACAGCTTTTTTTATTAAGTTGCTACGATGCACACATTTGTGAATGTAAAAATTAACTTTCACGAACTTCCCAGCAGACATGTTGGTAACTGGAAGGGTGAAGAAGGTAAAGTGTGATAAACGAAGGCGCTTCAGAGTACCTGCTTTAAATAAAAATGTGACCAACGCTTTAACACGTGATGGAAGTTGACATAGGCAAGAAAAGCCTTACATAGTGGTGTTTCGATGATGTGTGATGAGTCGGAAGTTTGCTGTTGAGAAAT